CCTTCCCTCCCCCGTCTTCTCCTCCTAAACACCCTGACAATAAACAATCATTACCGTGGCTACTATATTCATATTCCCCATTCCTCAGCGAGTCGACCTTCTCCCCCACTCCGTGAACTTTTGTTATTTTTATTTCCAGTTTTGTTGGCCGTTATTCAGTATTAAACGCAGGCGATATTTTTTTTTTCTCTTTTAACAACACCTCAACAAAATAAGAAAAATGCCCAACGACCTCATTCGAGCGAACGCAGTGGGAATTATACAAAATGCGTAAAAAAAAACCTAAGCTCGCGCTAATGTAAGCAGATGATACGGCCTTACCTTTTGATGAATTTACGTTTCAGTTTTTCACATGTCAAAAATACCTGTAGCAATTTTGTGTTAGTGACGACCGTGAACGCTACCCATTTAGCTGATGTACAAGCAGTGATACTGGAAGTATCATCTGCTAACAATATTATTTTAAAAGGGCTATGGCCTAGTATTGTTCACAATACTGAGCTTTGGCCCAGTATTGACAGTATACTGTCAATATATTGGCCCAGTGTTGACAATAGCCTTTTCAGACGCAATTCCGGTCACCGCTACGGAATAACTTTTAGCAATAGACTAAAACTTACTAGCTGTAGCAATTGCAACAAGGTTGGGCTATAACCTAAACTATCATCGCTATTGCCTATCGTTAGGCAGCTGCGAGATCAGCTAGTATTGTTGACAATACTGGTCCTTTTAAAATAATATTATTATTAGGAGGAGCTGGGTCAGATGGGTAGCGTTGACGATGGTCACCAATGACCACATTGTGGTCACCAATCACCATGGCCCAGTATTGTTGACAATATTGAGCCTTGGCCCAGTATTGTTGACAATACTGTGCCATGCTGGTTACCATCGTCAGCGCTACCCATCTCACCTCACCCCGCTCCTCCTCCTACTAATAACATTATTTTCAAAGGGCCATGTCTCAGCATTGTTGGTGACAATACTGGGTCATGCTGGTTGGTGACCACAATGTGGTCATTGGTGACCATCGTCAATGCTGCCTATTTAGCTGTTGTAGAAGCAGTGATACTGGAAGTATCATCTGCTAAATAGTTGGGACATCGGTCCTGACTTATAATGTTAGTTTGTTTTTGTCTCGTGTAACACTTCTGCTTTAACGGTAATCTAATTGTGCACACCTGACTGTATGAATCGCTGTGCTCTTTACAGCGTTGTATATAGATGTACTACCCGATTATTTAGAAAGTAATGCTAAAATCGTGCGTGAGTGGCTCCCATGTCCTTTGTTAGAGTTGATGTATCTGCGCTTTCCTTTACTTTTGACACAAATATCGAAAACTTTCTCTATTGTAACATTAATACAGAGATGAGTTGTAACAACGTTTAAGTTTATTTGATACATATTTACAAAATTTAAAATTCGGTTGTTAACAACAGATTCCGGCGTCAATAGACTGCTGGAGGCAAGTCTTGGCCTGGTCTCCTCCGGAATGGCCTGCGAAACACCTATCCATTAGGTTTACAGCGTCCTTCACTTGGCAATGGGGTGCTTTTTCCAGTTGACGGATGACTTGTCTGCTGCACATTGAAGGAATGAAGTCGCGCTGACTTTCGACGTACGTCGAGCAGAAGTCCATCAGCGATTCGAGCCTGTCAAGTCTCCCGCCCTCGCAATGCTTCGCGGTGGCAACGCTCAGCTGTAAGCAAACAAAAATTATTACTATGATTTCAGTACACTCGACTTTCAAATGCAATGAAAGTTGTGAGAATGTCTTGGCAATAATGGGACAAAAGTAAATACATTTCCAGTGGCACTGAATCAGTCATTGCAAAGGCAGCATCAATTTCCAATTTTGGCAATGAGCGGAGGTATTTGTTAAAAGAAATTCCTTAATTATTAGCAGTTTAAAAACTGCTGAACTGTTGGCAGTGAAGCTTCTGTTGTGGACTGTTGGCACCACTGAGTGAACCATGTATCATACAGGGCCGTGACTCCCTATAAAGTCACGTGACAAACTCTGAATAAACCTCTTGTTGATCTGAACTCCAAACTGTCATTCACCTGCTCCCTACACCGGACACGACATGATCTGAACTCTAAACTGTCATTCACCTGCTCCCTACACCGGACACGACAGCTTCATCAGTTTATTTGTTTATTGAATAAATCAATATTTTATCTGTGCTCTCACTCCGTGAGTTATTTTTGTGGGGTTAATTCCCCTGGCGCCCAAAACTAAAGTAAAGCAAAGATGCTCACGCCACTCTACCTTTTTGGGACTGAGTTTAGTCGGCACTACAGCCTGGACCTGTGAGAGGTCACACACAATGTACACGTTGGCTAAAACATTCAGTGATTAAGCTTCATTACCGTCAGTGTGCAGCAGGGTTCGAACTGCCAATGGGAATAAGATGAGGGAAGCTTATAAAAAAAATAATTCGCTCATTGCCAAAATTGGTTATGGATACTGCATTTGAGATGATGGCAATGGCCTGCTCAGCTCATTTCCGCTCATTACTTTTGTCACATTGCCTTTACGCTGTTTATTGCCAAAACGGCGCTTCATTTCCACAAAACGTAGTACTAGTATTTACAACACATTTCATAAATAAAACTTACTACAAATGTTATAAATTACAAAGATATTTTTCACAGTGAGAATACTTCGAATACTGCAGTCGTTACAAGGTACTTACCAGCGCTACTGCGACTGCGGCGAAGAGAATGACCGTTTTGGAAGCCATTGCTGCAAAGTGAGAAGTCAGATTTGTCACTGATACGTCTTTGGCTGAGAGCGGGTGGTTTTATAGGAGGAGGTGGCCCTCTCCGTGATCGTGTTGTTTGCTTGGACCACTTCAAATCATCGGAGTATCATTACACAATCACGCCAACTGCAACAGCGGTATATACCAAGAGTGACAACGCACATCACTGACGATAGGCATGACTCCGAACTCAAGTGTGATAAAGTCCAACAGTTGTGCAATACCAAATGTGGCACACTTTTAGCAGCAATACCACATGCGTATAACATTACAAGTGTAAGACAACACATGTCTCACACTTACAAGTGTGGAACCATTACGGGTCGCACACTTACAAGCGCGCTTATTGTCTCACGGTCGTTTGCATGAGACATATGGTCCAGTGAG